GCTAGGCAGAATATGAGACAGGCATTACAACGAATGATTATGAAGGCTGGTGTGTGAGGAGAGAGGGAAACATACACATTAAAAACATGTTGCCTATTTACAGGAAAGAAAGAAATGCTAACTGTGATTATGCTGGGTAATTTTTTCTTTCACAGTTTCTTTTTTTCCAAAGGTCCTTTAAAGAGTGTATATTAATGTCATTGAAAAAAAAAAACCTGCAAAGCCTTTAAGAATTATTCCGGCCGGGCGCGGTGGCTCACGCCTGTAATCCCAGCACTTTGAGAGGCCGAGGCGGGTGGATCACGAGGTCAGGAGATCAAGACCATCCTGGTCAACATGGTGAAACCCCGTCTCTACTAAAAATACAAAAAAATGAGCTGGGCGTGGTGGCGCATGCCTGTAATTCCAGCTACTCAGGAGGCTGAGGCAGGAGAATTGCCTGAACCCAGGAGATGGAGGTTGCGGTGAGCCAAGATCACGCCATTGCACTCCAGCCTGGGTAACAAGAGTGAAACTCCATCTCAAAAAAAAAAAAAAAGAATTATTCCAAGGCCCGTTGCAGTGGCTCGCGCCTGTAATCCAAGCACTTTGGAGGCCAAGGCAGGTGGATCGCCTGAGTTTGGGAGTTCAAGACCAGCCTGACCAACATGGTGAAACCCTGTTTTTATTTAAAAAAAAAAAAAAAAAGGATTATTCCTTTCTTTCCAGACAGCCAGATGGAATCCAGAATATACCACAGGTTGTCACACAATACCCTGCTATTTTCTCACCTTCTCTCCCCACTTTCCAGTGAATTAAAAATGATGTTTCACAAGTGCTTCTTAGCTGCCAGCATCTGTAACCAAGAGCAGGTGGGACATGGGGCTAAGAAACACACCAATCCTGTCCTCAAGGGTCTTATGGCCACAGCACTTTTCTTTTCTTTTCTTCCTTTTTCCTTCCTTCCTTTTATTTTTTTTTATTTTGAGACAGGGTCCCACTCTGTTACCAGGGCTAGAGTGCAGTGGCATAATCTTGGCTCACTGTAACTTTCGCCTCCCGGGCTCAAGCGATCCTCCCACCTCAGCCTCCCACATAGCCTGACCACAGGCTACCACACCTGGCTAATTTTCATATTTGGCGTAGAGATGAGTTTTACTATGTTGCCCAGGCTCCAACCCCTGCACTCAAGCAATCTACCAGCTTTGGCCTCCCAAAGTACTGGGAGCCACCATGCCTGGTCTATTTTTTTTTTCTTTTTGAGGCAGAGTCTTGCTCTGTCTGTCAGCAGGCTGGAGTGCAGTGGCATGATCTCAGCTGACTGCAACCTCCACCTCCCAGGTTCAAGAGATTCTCCTGCCTCAGCCTCCCGAGTAGCTGGGACTACAGGCATGCACCACCACGCCCAGCTAATATTTATCGTAGAGACGGGGGTTTCACCATATTGGCCAGGCTGGTCTCGATCTCTTGACCTTGTGATCTGCCCACCTCGGCCTCCCAAAGTGCTGGGATTACAGGCATGAGCCACTGCGCCTAGCCTATTTAAAAAAAAAAAAATTTTTTTTTCTTTTAGAGATGGATCTCACTATATTGACCACGCTGGTCTTGAACTCCTAGGCTCAAGTGATCCTCCTGCCTTGGTCTCCCAAAGTGCTGGGATTACAGGCATGAGCCAGCTCTTTACATAACACCTGCTAATGTTTATTCGCTGTTCTAAATTCACCTTCCCCAGGATGTCTTCCAGGATGCCCTCTCCTCATGGTCTTAGATGGTTTTATATGCACTTACCTGATTTTCCACTAGTCCATGAGCTTCTTGGGGCCAAACACAGTGCCTCTTTTCTCTTCAATTACGTTAAAAATTAAAACCCACTGGGCACGGTGGCTCATGATTGCAATCCCAGCAGTTTGGGAGGCCGAGGTAGATGAATCATTTGAGATCAGAAGTTCAAGACTAGCCTGGCCAACACAGTGAAACCCCATCTCTACTAAAAATACAAAAATTAGCCAGGCGGTGGTGGCGCACCTATAATCCCAGTTACTAGGGAGGCCGTGGCAGGAGAACGGCTTGAACCCAGGAGGCGAAGGTTGCAGTGAGCCAAGACTGCGCCACTGCACTCCAGCCTGGATGAGAGAGTGAGACCCAATGTCAAAAAAAAAAAAAAGAAAGAAAGAAAGAAAAATTAAGACACTTTTTTTTTTAAACAGTCTTGCTCTGTCTTCCAAGCTAGAGTGTGGTGGCAAGATCATAGCTCTCTGCAGCCTAGAACTAGAACTCCTGGGCTCAAGTGATCCTCCTGCCTCAGCCTCTCAAGCTGGGACTTCAGGAGTGAACCGGCACACCTAGCTGCCTCTTTCCTCTCTGACTCTGCAGCGTGTATAATTGGCCTCAACAGATGTTTGCTAAATAAATGCTTCAACTATCCTACTAACGCATGGCAAAACTTGGGGGCAGGGTACCTCACTGTCTGCAGCTTGTCATTTTGATTTTCTTAGTTTGCCTTTTTCAGGCCTGGCCCAGACTCCAGGAGAACTAGCAGGCGTTACAGGCGTGAGAAAGCTGAGGCTCTAAGACCTCCTTGTGTCGTAAATGTCTTCATGGCTTCACACATCCTGATGCTCAATAGGCTTGCATCTATGGGTTTGAATCCTCCTACCAGTACCAGAAATCTTGGACAAGCTTAGCCAGGTGGCGGTGGATGATTATAACTGTAGTCCCAGCTACTCAGGAGGCTGAGGCAGGATAATCGCTTGAACCCAGGAGGCAGAGGTTGCAGTGAGCTGAGATTGTGTCACTGCACTGCAGCCTGGACAACAGAGTGAGCCTCTGTATCAAACAAAACAAAGCTATCATTCTTTTTTTTTTAGATGGAGTCTCACTCTGTCCCCAGGCTGGAGTGCAGTGGTGCCATCTTGGCTCACTGCAACCCCGCTTTCTGGGTTCAAGCGATTCTCCTGCTCAGCTTCCTGAGTAGCTGGGACTACAGATGCTTGTTGCAATGCCTAGCTAATTTTGTAGAGATGGGATTCACCATGTTGGCCAGGATGGTCTTGATCTCCTGACCTTGTGATCCAACTGTCTTGGCCTCCCGAAGTGCTGGGATTACAGGCGTGAGCCACTGCACCTGGCCAAAACTATCATTCTTTAAAAAAAAAAAAAAGAAAGAAAGAAATCTTAGCCAAGCAACCAATTGGTTTATGTAAACCGACCCTATAAAAGCAACTACATACATGTTCAAATTTAGCACAGTGTTGAGGTAAGAAGATTACTCATTTGAGTATATAAAAAAAAAGAAGAGTGGAGAATTTATAAACAGTGAAACCATTTCGAGCAGGGTTCAGGAAACCTTTTCCGGCAAAGGCCAGATGTAAGTATTTTAGGCTTTGCAGGCCGTAAGGTCTGTGGCAACTACTCAGCTCTGTCTTTTTGGCAGGAAAGGAGCCATAGGCAAGATTTAAAGGAATGGGTATGATTGTGTTCCAACACAACTTGTAAATGGATGCTGAAATCTGAATTTCATATAATTTTCTTTTTTTTTTTTTTGAAGACAGGGTTCCACCATGTTGGCCAGTTGGTCTCTATCCCTTGATCTTGTGATCCGCCCACCTTGGCCTCCCAAAGTACTGGGATTACAGGTGTGAGCCACCGTGCCCAGCTCATATCATTTTCATTTGTCATGAACTATTATCTTGTTTTGGGACATTGTCTTGCTCTGTCACCTGGGCTGGAGTGCAGTGGCACGATCTTGGCTCACTGCAAACTCAACCTCCCAGGTTCAAGTGATTCTCTTGCCTCAGCCTCCCAAGTAGCTGGGATTACAGGCACACACCACCATGCCCAGCTAATTTTTGTATTTTTAGTAGAGACAAGGTTTCACCGTGCTGGTCAGGCTGGTCTTGAACTCTTGACCTCAAGTGATCCACCTGCTTTGGCCTGCCAAAGTGCTGGGATTATCCCTAACTACTTAAAGATGTTAAAAATAGTAACATCTACTTAAAGATGTTACTAGTAACTACTTTAAAATGTTAGCAGTTAAAAAGTAGCATTCCAGCCTGGATAACAAGAGTGAAACTCGGTCTCAAAAAAAAAAAAAAAAAAAAAAAAGTAGTAACTACTTAAAGATGTTAAAAGTATCCCTAACTACTTAAAGTAGTTAGGCTGTGATTATCCCTAACTACTTAAGGATGTTAAAACCGTTCTTAGCCCAAGGGCTTTATAAAAATGGGTGGTTGCTTCTCTCTCCGCTTCCCCACCCAAGCCCCCATATCAAAAATAAACACCAAGCAACAAAAGGGCGATCAGTAGGGTTTGGTCTGGCTGTTGGTTGTCGATCCCATGGGCTCAGAGCTGGCCCTGCCTTAGGCTCTGGCCTCAACATTCCCTGCCTGTGACCTTGGAGGAGGGCCTTACCCATTCAGCCCCTCGGTTTTCTCAGCTGGGAAGTGGTAGAAAATAACCGGCCCACAGATGGGGCTTTTATGAGGACTGTATCCAGTGCTGCCTGCACAATGCAGAAGCCTTATCAATGCATGCATGGTGGCTATTATTATCATTGTTATTATTGTTTTGAGACAGTTCTCCTTATGTTGCTCAGACCGGTCTTGGCCTCAAGTGATCCTCCTGCCTCGGCCTCCCATAGTTCAATATTCTTTACAGTTAAAAAAAAAAAAAAAATAGCTGGCCAGGTGTGGTAGCTCATGCCTGTGATCTCAGCACTTTGGGAGGCTGAAGTGGTGGATCATGAGTTTAGGAGATAGAGATCATCCTGGTTAACATGGTGAAACCCTGTCTCTACTAAAAATACAAAAAATTAGCCAGGTGTGGTGGCACGTGCCCGTCGTCTCAGCTACTTAGGAGGCTGAGGCAGGAGAATGGCTTGAACATGGGAGGTGGAGGTTGCAGTGAGCTGAGATGGCACCCTTGCACTCCAGCCTGGGCCACAGAGCAAGACTCTGTCTCAAAGTATAAATATATATTAAAAAAAATATATATATATATTATAAAATATTGAGTACCTGGTTGTAAATGATGATGACAATTTTATGCTTTATTTCTCCCCATATGTTGGTATAACGTAATAGTTCACACCTAAATGCCCGGGGCAGACTTGTCTCTTGCCTTTCCCGATGCTGATCTTAGAGGCAGAGGGTTTTCTTCAGGTCACTGCACATCATCATCACTGGCACATGTGAGCTGCTGCTCTTGTTTGTTTTTGAGGTCCAACTTTCCCTCCAAGCCCTTTCTCCTCCAATAATTCTTTTTTGGCTGGGCACGGTGGCTTAAGCCTGTAATCTCAGCACTTTGGGAGGCCGAGGCAGGTAAATCACAAGGTCAAGAGATCGAGACTATCCTGGTCAACATGGTGAAACCCCGTCTCTACTAAAAATACAAAAAAAAATTACCTGGGCATGGTGGCGCGTGCCTGTAATCCCAGCTACACAGGAGGCTGAGGCAGGAGAATTGCTTGAAACCAGGAGGTGGAGGTTGGGGTGAGCCGAGATCGCGCCATTGCACTCCAGCCTGGGTAACACAGTGAAACTCCGTCCCTGCAAAAAATTTTAACAATAGCCAGGTATGGTCCCAGCTGCTTGGGAGGCTGAGGCAGGAGGATGGCTTGAACCCAGGAGGTAGGGGCTGCAGTGAGCCATGAACATGCCACTGCACTCCAGCCTGGGTGACAGAGCAAGACCCTATCTCAAAACAAACAAACAAACAAAAACCCCAGGTAATTCACATGCTCACTGAAGTTGAAGAAGCGCAATTCTTGGCTGTGGGTGTGATGGTTCCCACTCTGCAACTGACAGGCATTTGAAAGTGGTGTTTGGGGTACAGGAGTGTAGATGGAATCCTGTTTTAGACCCAGGAGGAGGCTGCTGAAGCATTGACTGCTGAGACACATGTGTTGTGAACTTCTGGTGTTTTTTTTTTTTTTTCAATCTAGGGTTCTTGTAAAATGAGGTTCCATTGCAGTAGTCTGTCTGGCAGAGCCCAGAGGGTGGGACTGTGCCAGGAAAAGCAATTTAGGACCCAAGATGCCACCAGGGGCCTCCTTCCCCATGACCCTGGAGGGTGGACGTCACTAGGGCTTGTGGGGCTGGCCAAGGGTGGGCTGTAGATGGCATTTCTTAATATAGTTACTTAATAGCTATGTTTTCTAAGTGCCACAGAGGACTAAAGGAATGTCACTAAATGCTTGGCATGGAAGGAGCTAATGGCTTTGAGAGGGACATTTCCCAGGCCTTGGTAGGAGACAGATGTCATAGAAGGGGGGTGTCATGGAGACAAACCCCACCCACGGGCCTGGCCATTGCTTTTTCACCACTTTGGCTTTGGGCATGAAACAATGGTGTGAGCAGAGAGCCAGCATTGCCCAGGGAGGCTGTGATCTTGAGGCTTGGCCTTGCCCAGGCAGCAGGCAGGGCTGGCTGCTGCTGGTTTTCTCCATCTGCCTCCATTTATCAGTCTATACAAAGGGCATGTTGCTACAGCCAGCAGCATTTCACAACTCCCGGGTACTGCCTTGCTTCTCTGAGTATTTCCTTCCTTTTTTCCTCTGGAGGTCTTCAGAAGACTCCTGTCCTTGACCTCACAGTAAGAAAAATGTTGGGGAAAGCCCAATATGAGGGGAAGCCCCTCCCTGCCATTGCTCTGCGACTTCCAGGGGGCACTTCACCCATCAGGACCCTCATTCCAGGAGGGGGGAGAGCATGCCCCTCTCTGCAGCGTGGTTATAGAAAGCCATGAAACCAGGTATTTAAGAGTTCTTTGGGGCCAGGCGCAGTGGCTCATGCCTGTAATCCCAGCACTTTGAGAGGCTGAGGCTAGACGATCACGAGGTCCGGAGTTTGAAACCAGCCTAGCCAACATGGTGAAACCCCTCTCTACTAAAAAAAAAAAAATCAGTCAGGATGTGGCAGTGCATACCTGTAATCCCAGCTACTCAGGAGGCTGATGTGGGAGAATAACTTGAATCCATGAAGCGGACATTGCAGTGAGCAAGATCGCACCACTACACTCCAGCCTGGGCGACCATCTCAAACAAACAAAAAACAAAAATTAGCCAGGCATGGTGACACATGCCTGTATTCCCAGCTACTTGGGAGGTTGAGGCAGGAGAATTACTTGAACCGGGAAGGTAGAGGTTGCAGTGAGCCAACATTGCACCACTGCACTCTAGCCTGAATGATAGGGTGAGACTCTGTCTCAAAAAAAAAAAAAAAAAAAGGAGTACATGGCACTTCCCCTCCACACTCTCTCTTTCTCTTGATCCTGCTTTTGCCATATGATGCCCAAGTTCCTGCTTTGCCTTTTGCCATGAGCTCGCTGAGGCCTCCCCAGAAGCCCAGTGATGCCAGCACTATGCTTCCTGTGGAGCCTGCAGAATCCTGAGCCAATTAATCCTCTTTTCTTTATTATTATTATTATTATTTTTGAGACAGAGTCTTGCTCTGGCGCCCAGGCTGGAGTGCAGTGGCACGATCTCAGCTCACTGCAACCTCTGCCTCCCAGGTTCGAGCGATTCTCCTGCCTGTATTTTTAGTAGTGACAGGGTTTCACCGTGTTGGCCAGGCTGGTCTTGAACTCTTGACCTCGTGATCTGCCTGCCTCAGCCGACCAAAGTGCTGAGATTACAGGCGTGAGCCACTGTGTCTGGCCTTTTGGCATTTATTTTCTTTTTCTTTTTTTTTTTTAAAGATGGGATTTCACCATGATGGCCAGGCTGGTCTTGAATTCCTAACCTCAGGTGATCCACCCACCTCGGCCTCCCAAAGTGCTAGGATTACAGGTGTGAGCCTGTAATCCAACGGAGGTTGCATGGTATGCCACCATGCCCGACTGGGCTCAAGTGATCCTCTCACCTCAGCCTACTGAGTAGTGGGGACTATAGGCATGTGCTATCATACCTGGCTAATTAAAAAAATTGGCAGGCTGTCGTGGCTCATGTCTGTAATCCCAACACTTTGTGAGGCTGAAACGAATGGATTACGTAAGGTCAGGAGTTCAAGACCAGCCTGGCCAACATGGTGAAACTCCATCTCTACTAAAAATACTAAAAATTAGCTGGGTGTGGTGGCAGGTGCCTGTAATGCCAGCCACTTGGGAGGCTGAGGTAGGAGAATCGCTTGAACCTGGGAGGTGGAGGTTATAGTGACCTGAGATAGCACATTGCACCATAGCCTGGACGACAAAAGCAAGACTCCGTCTTAAAAAATTTTTTTTTTTGGTCAGGCACAGTGGCTCAGGCCTGTAATCCCAGCACTTTGGGAGGTGGAGGCCAGCAGATAACTTGAGGTCAGGAGTTTGAAATCAAACTGGCCAACATGGCAAAACCCCATCTCTACTAATGCAAAAATTACTCAGGTGTTGTGGTGCATGCCTGTAGTCTCTTAGGAGGCTAAGGCAGGAGAATTGCTTGAATGGAGGTTGCAGTTTGCCAATTTCTCACCACTGCACTCCAGCCTGGGCAACAGAATGTGACTTCATCTTAAAAAAAAAAAAAAAAAATATATATATATATATATATATATGAGTCTTGCTACATTGCCAGAGCTGGTCTTGAGCTCCAAAGCTCAAGTGATCCTCCCACCTCAGCCTCCTAAAGTGCTAGGATTACAGGTGTGAGCCTACTTGTACGCTATGGGACACGGGTTGAGCAGAAAATAACCCAGCCCCTACCCTCAAGAGGCCTACAGTCTAGTGGTGGGGACAAATATTAATTAAGTATTCAAGCAGTGTGAAAAGCCAAATGTAATTATCATCATCCCTGGAGTTACAGAAAGCTAGATGGCTGAAATGGTAGTGAAGGGACCCCTGAGCTGAGAGCTGGTGGATGGGCTAACAAGCAAAGAGAGGGAAGAACATTCCAGAAAAAGAAATTGCATGTCTAAAGGCCCTAGGGAGCACAGAGACTAAAAGAGGCCAGCATGGCAGGCAGAGAGGGAGGGGAATAGAGAGGGAGATGAGGCTGGGAGGCCTTGGCCTTGTCAAGGAGTTTGGCTTTATTCCAAATACATCGGGCAGCTGTTTAAACTGGGGGCATAAAGGGAGAGGGTAATTGAAGCCTCATCAGATCTGATATAGTTCTGGCTAAGAACAGTCAACCGGGGAAGAATTGATGGGTTTCCTGGCAATGAAAGAGACTGACAAGTAGTGAATCAGAGAAAAATACTTAGCCCAAGGTCATGTCCATTCCTGGAATCAGCCCATATCCAAAGACTGTTTGATTGGATGAACCACTTTTGGGGTGGTTCATAGACCATTTGAGAGTTTGTTGAAAGCTACGATCGTTAAGCACATAATTTCTGGCAGCTACAGTAGTTCGTGTAGCCCTGGAGTGGGGCTGGGGAGCAGGCTTTACCTGGGCCTCAAGTGAAGAATTCTTGGATGAGATGGAAATAGGCACCTTTTATGATGGCCTGCTAAGACCAAGTCAATCCCACTTGGAGCTGGGAGATAGCACTTAAGTGACTTGCCCAAGCTGAGAAGAGCTGAACTAGGACCCCCAAGCCAGGTCTTTGTGAAGCTAAGACCTGCTCCAATGGGAGACATCGCTACGCTTACCCTTTCCCATTCTGCCACTGCCCCGTAATACCACACGTTTCAGACCTCATAGCTACCTCTTTTTGTATATATATATATATTTTTACCCAAAATAAGGCAAATGAGGGTTGCAGTTTTTGTTTGTTTTTGAGATGCGATCTCACAGTATTGTCCAGGATGGCCTGAAACTCCTGGGCTCAAGCAATCCTCCTGTGTAGGCTCCTGAGTAGCTGGGACTACAGGTGCGCCACCATTCCCAGCCTTTTAAATTTTTATTTGTTAGACATGAGGTCTTGCTGGAGTGTGGAGGTTATTCACAGGTGTGATCGTTGTGCACTACAGCCTTGAGCTCCTGGACTCAAGCGATCATCCCATCTCAGCCTTCCAAGTAGTTGGTACTACAGGTGTGCACCGCAACACCTGGCTGTATTTTTTGTTGTTGTTTTTTTTGAGACGAAGTCTTGCTCTGTCGCCAGGCTGGAGTGTAGTGGCATGATCCTGGTTCACTACAGCCTCTGCTCCTTGAGTTCAAGTGATTCTCCTGCCTCAGCCTCTCAAGAAGCTGGGACTACAGGCACATGCCACCACACCTGGCTAATTTTTGTATTTTTAGTAGAGACAGGGTTTCACCATGTTGGCCAGGATGGTCTCCATCTCTCGACCTTGTTATCTGCCTGCTTGGCCTCCCAAAGTGCTGGAATTACAGGTGTGAGCCACCGTGCCCAGCCTATCAGGCTGTATTTTTTTAACTTCTCTCATGGAGCAGGGTTTACCTGATGAAGTAGGATACAGCATCTGAGGCCTCAATATGCTAAGTGGCCTGCAAGGTCACTTAGCAAGTGAGTGGTCCAACTGAGCTGGAGACAGAGGACATTTGCGGTCACCTTGGAAGTTCCAGTGGGGACGAGCCTTACCTAGCTCCAACTCTGAAGGCCAGAAGGAAGAAGGGTTTGGGGGAGGCTGTTATCAGGGGAAGGACGAAGGGCCCTGGGCTGGGCTTTAAAGAAGGGGCTTCCTGTGAGCCTGAGGATGGCCATGCCCTTGTATAGACTTTGTCCTCAAGGCAAGTTCTCTCCTGGACCTTTAAATCTTCTCAACAGCTCTGGGCAGGGCATTTATCCCCACCTTACAGATGAAGATACCAAAAGAACTTTATCCAGGCCAGGCACAGTGGCTCACTGCTGTAATCCCAACAATTTGGGAGGCCGAGGCAGGCAGATCACTTGAGGTCAGGAGTTCGAGACCAGCCTGGCCAACATGGTGCAACCCTGCCTCTACTAAAAATACAAAAATTAGCTGGGTGTAGTGACACGTGCCTGTAATCCCAGCTAATCAGGAGGATGATTAGAAATGCGGGGTGACAGCTGAGGGAGAAATGGGAAGGAAGATGACAGTCTGTCCCATTTTGCTGCATGACTGGAGAGACTGTGGCATTGCATCTTGAAGGATGAGTAGGAGTTCGGTAAACAACAGGTAAAGGGAACAACAGGTGCGAGGGTTCAGAGGGTGAAAAAGTCAGAACACCGTAAAAAAGGGCACGGTAGGATGGAGTTGGGCAGGAAGACCTGGCCTGGGCAATGGACCAGGAGAACTTGAGAGAAACCCGGAAAACTGTGTGTGTGTGATCATCTCTGAACAGGAGCCGGATGAAGTTCTTGTTTTGCTCTGCCACACACCGGACTCCCATGTGTTTGCCGAAGGAGTAAAGGAATTCCAGGAAGCCACCTGAACTACCCAGCCTCAACTTCTCTGTCAGCTCCTAAGAACAGTAGGACACTGAAAGTGGGTGCCTATAATCCCTGCTGTTGACTTCAAGTGTCAAGTTTATTGTTGCCACCCCCATCGCTGTTGTTCTCACTGTTAGCCTTCCTTTGCCCATTTTGTGCCTCGGCCCTAAGGGTCCTTGCCACGATCTTCCCTTTATCCGGCTTTTCATGTCCCCCCAGCAGCCAGGCATACCAAGACACAGAGCTGACCCTGGAACTTCTGACCACTTCCCTTCCAGGCTCCCATGGCCTAAGAAACTCTAGTACCTTTCCTTGCCTAAGGCATGCACTGCCTGTCTTTAGCCCCTGGAGGAGTCCTGTTTCCCACCCATTGCCTTTTCCACTCTCTACCCCATCCTTTTTTTCTACCTTGTTAAAGAAAATGAATCAGATTCTCGTTAAAGAGGACAAGGAAGCCAGGCGTGGTTGCTCACACCTGTAATCCCAGCACTTTGGGAGGCTGAAGTGGGAGGAGAGATTGTGCCCAGGAGTTCGAGACCTGCCTGGTCAACACAGTGTAGTCCCAGTTGCTCAGGAGACTGAGGTGGGAGGATCACTTGAGCAGGGGAGTTCGAGGCTGCAGTGGGCTATGACTGCACCACTGCACTCCAGCCTGGGCAGCACAGAACCTTGTCTCTTTTTTTGAGATGGAGTTTTTTTTTTTTTTTGAGACGGAGTTTCGCTCTTGTTACCCAGGCTGGAGTGCAATGGCGCGATCTCGGCTCACCGCAACTTCCGCCCCCTGGGTTCAGGCAATTCTCCTGCCTCAGCCTCCTGAGTAGCTGGGATTACAGGCACACGCCACCATGCCCAGCTAATTTTTTGTAATTTTTAGTAGAGACGGGGTTTCACCATGTTGACCAGGATGGTCTCGATCTGTTGACCTCGTGATCCACCCGCCTCGGCCTCCCAAAGTGCTGGGATTACAGGCTTGAGCCACCGCGCCCGGCCGAGATGGAGTTTCTTAACGTAGGCCAGCCAGGGTGATCACATACCAAGCGTGGGGATGTTCCCGACAGCAGCATTCTTGCTAAAACTGGACTAAGAAAGCCAAGGACACAGCCCAAGGTCGGGCCGGGTCAGAAAGAGGTCTCAGAGGAGCCTGACTCAAGTGTGGTCAAGGGTAGTCTTTGTCACCCGCTGGCAACTTGGCTCTATCGAGTCTCCCAGCCTCAATTCAAGCTCTTCCCCTCTCCCAGCTCCGTCAAAATCGCCTTGATTTCCAAGGCCAGCTTCAACGTCTCCTCTCAAACTTTCCTGAGCCTTCCCTCCACGGGAATTCATTTTTCCTGCCTGGGCCTGGGGAGAGAAGTCCATTTCCCCTTCTCAAACCCAGAGAGACCTTTGAGGCAGGAAAGCTCCCTGGCTGCCCCATAGGGCAGGGCAGGGCCGGGCAGGCGGGGTTTAGTGACTCCAGGGCGCCAACGCTGACCCGCACCCATGAGGTAGGGGTCTCCAGGGACGGTCGCTGTTATCGCTGCCGCATCCAGTCCCTGCCCCTTCCCCCCTCCGAGAAGGGGACCCAGAGTGAGAGCTGGTGGTCACGTCCTACGCCTGGTGGGGGGGGGCCCTGAGAGTTCACCCACTCCCCGGGGGCCCCATCCTGGGCCGGGGTCTGCTTCCTCCAGGGAAGGGGCGAGATCCTGTAAGGTCCCGGCGCACTTGCCGTGGGTTGCCTTGGGGGGGCTGAACCCTGCTGGGGGTACAGAGACGCTTCCGAAACTCAGCAGCTCGGTCGCCCCCAAAGGCCAGACGAAACATGCCCACACCGCGCCTCCCTCCCCTCACCCTTTCCCGAAGTAAGACTGCCGGGCCACGGCCGCCCCCAGGCAGCCCCGCGCCCCTCAGCCGCTGACACAAACAGGCTCCCCGCAGCCCCGAGGGCCGGAACGGCGCCTTTAAGAGGCGGCGGGCGGCGCTGCCCCCTGGCGGCCACCCCGCCGCTTCCTTGCTGCCGCGGGCTCCAGCGGGGCGGCCGGGCCAGCGCGGGGCGGCGGCGGGCAGCGGCAGGGAGTGCGCGGGCGCTCGCCGCCGCCCTTCTCGGCGGGCAGCGCGCGGGGACTAGGTCGAGGAGGAAGTGCCGGTGGCGGCGGCGGGTGAGGACCGCGGGCCGGGCCGGGTGGCCGCGTGCGCCCCGCCGGGGTCCGAACGCGCCGGGGGGTTACGGCCCGGCTCCGAACGGCCGAGGGCGAGGACCCGGGCGGGAGGAGGAGGGAGGAAGGGCGCGGGGACCGCGCTTCTGCTGCCGCCGGAGGGCTTGTAGCTCGGGCCCGCGCGGCGGGAGGGAGGCGGGCAGGGCGAGGGCGGTGTCTGCGGAGGCCCCGCTTCCCCTCCCGCGCGCCCCGGCCCCGGCCCCGGCCCCGGCCCAATCCAGGCCCAGCCCTTGCCGACCGGCTGGCCGGGAGGTGCGGCGCTCGCTAACGGGTGGGCGGGCGAGCCCGCGGGCGGCGGGGGGCGTGGGCAGCGGCGGCGGCTCGGCCCAGCCAGTGGCCTTCCGCGCTGAGCGCCGCTCCCTCCTCCCGGCCGCCCGCCGCGCCCCGCCCCGCCCCGCGCGGCAGGACTGCGCGCCCCAGCACCGAGCCCGGTTCCGCGTCCCCGCCGCCGGGAGGAGGTGCCCGCTCGCTCGCGGCGCGCGCCGGCCGCCAGACTCGGCCTGTGGGCGATTTCCTCCGGACCCAGGCTCCCCGCCCGAGGAGGAAGATGCAGACCTTTCTGAAAGGGAAGAGAGTTGGCTACTGGCTGAGCGAAAAGAAAATCAAGAAGCTCAATTTCCAGGCCTTCGCCGAGCTGTGCAGGTAAGGTGGGACGCGACGCCTGCCCCCGGGGATCCCCGGCCCCAGCCCGGTGCAGCCTCAGCGGTTGTTTTGGGAGGTCGGAGCCAAACGGGAAGAAGCGGTGCGCGGGGAGACTGAGTCCGAACAGCCAGGTGGCAGTGGCGGCCACCGGCCGCGTTCCAGGGAAGCAGTGGCCGGTACGGGCGGGGTGGCAAGGACCGGGACGCTCAGGTGCACTGTGACCTAGCTGGGGAGGCCCCCAGCAACCCAGGGCGCCAGGGGAGTGCTGCTAAAGATTGCGGAGGGACCTGGGAAATCGGGGCATCCACGCTGTGGGCTGGGGGCTTGAGGGTACTTTTGGACTGGAGTGTTTTTCTTCCTTCGTCCCCTCCCTTTCGTGGAGAAAGGGCACCCACGTTTGTGGACCACCTACTATGTGCCTCGTGTGTGCTCGGCTCTTGAGGCTGTCATTGCATATCATGAGGTTAAGCCCAGTGGAAGGGAGTAGCAATTCTTGGCACGTTGTGGTGATTTGCTGTCTCATTAGAGCCTCGTAGCAGCTCTGCAAATTGGCCAGGGTGGTGATTCTGGGCCACGTGTCTGAGAAGGGGGTCTGATCGGCAGAGGAGCGGGGTACCTCGCTTGGGGTCCCGCAGCTAGGGAGTGGCTGGTGCATAGAAGGTGCTGGGTAAATGCCCATGATGTGGAGTGGCCTTCTGGGCTGGGTGCCATCTGGGCTGGGTGCCATCTGGGCTGGGTGCCCCTGCTCCCACCATGCTGGGGCTCCTTGGCGGAGTGTCCGGTGTTTAATAGGTCACGTTCTTAATAAATTACGGAACTACGGAGTCTTGGGTCAGGTAGGCCTTCTCTTGCTCCACAACTGTGGCTTTGCCTCTGAGAAGCAGTTAACCCTTTTCTCAATTCATGCCTAAGAGAATCCAGCTCTGAAAGCCTTTTGCAAACTCCAGGTGGAAACCTTTTGTGATGCAGCTAGTTAGACTGATTTTTGAAAATGGGCTCTACTTGCGTTTTTGTCCCTGTGGGGGCCCCACACGTCTTGGTGAAATGAACAGATGGGTTTCCGCATCTCCCGGTGCTCCTGGGGCCGGTGGCTGGTATGAACTGGCCTGCACAGGTGGGCCTGGCAGCACCTCTGTGTGCCTGATGCCTGTCCCAAGGGTCTGCTGCTCCTTGGCCCTGTGCAAGCTCCGCAGGTGCCCTTCCTGCAGCCGGAGGGGTGCAGCTTGTATAGGATAGCCCCTGGTTCTTTATCACTTGGTCTGGGGATGGGGTTGGCTGCCTTCTCCTAGGCTGGTTTTTCTAGAAGACAGGCTCTTCGTGGACGATAGGGCATGCAGAGTGGCCCCAGCAATTCATGAAGAAATCAGGAGGAGCTCGAAGCCAGAGCTTTGAAAATGAGTCTTAGGACCCTTGGAACGTTGCAAAAGGGTACTTGAACATTGTACCTCGGATACACTCACTTGTGTGAAGGGGGCTCTAAGACACTGAAGAAATTTGGAGAAGCCCCTTTGGCATGTTCTGGAAGTCCAGTTCTGATGTGAGGCACTGGAGCTCCCCCTGCAGTCATATAAGACTTGGGAAATCGCAGTTCATCCCTCACACCCTTTGTACTGCTCTCTGTATTTGTGTCATCTTGTGCCTGTAACTGGAGCTTGAGGCTTGTCATTGGGTTGGCTGGTTTTACTTGGTAATTAGGAGGTTCAAGCAAAATATTCCTAGCCGAGACTCACAACAGGGTCCTCGTGCTGGACCTGCAGATTGGCTTGATTTTCTTGTAGTCACTCTGCCTTTAACAGGGGTGGGAGGTTCAGGGCAAGCTATGGATCGACGTTCTGGGGAGTAGGGCATTAATTTCTCTGCAAGCATTGTTGTCTTCAAAGTCTAGTTGCCTTCTCTTGGCCAAAGTATTGGCTTCAAAGGAGGCAGAAGGCATTAGGGCCATTCTAGAACCCAAGGAAGCCCACTTTATGTTTTCACTAGGGAAGCTTTAGATATTTTATCATTTAAGCCTAAGAAGGAAAAGAAAACACTAAAAAGAGTTTTTCTGTTTCTTATTACTTTCAGGGCAGTGCCCCCTGGTGGCCACATTTCTATACTGGCTGCAAAATGCTCCAACTGTTGAGCCAGTGGCCAGAGAGCCCCGTGAGGTTGTTTTGTTTGGTGTGAGAGCAGATGAGACTTTGGTGGCTGAGAGACAGCGCAAAGACATTATCATGTTTTCTGTATTCAGAATCTGGGGGCGCAGGGCTTCTGTATTGCTGGGTGATGAATGTCTATGAATTCCCTAATAAAAAAATCTAAAGGTATTTGAAAATGGCCCTGCGCTGAATGTTTGGGCAAAGCATGACCGGAATGGTCCGGCCCAGGATGGGTTGTTTAGCTGAATGTCTGGCCTTGTAAAAATCTGATCTCAGAGCAGGAAGAGACACTGGCCTTCATCTCATCCAGCTCCTTTGTTTTACAGATGGGGAAACCATCAAGAGACGGGGCAGCTTCCAGACTCTTGCTCTTAACTTCTAGAATGGGTCCAACTTGGTACCTTGAGACTTGTCTTTCTTCTTGGGTATTCCCCCTCCTTATCTTTCCAGAGGTCTGGTGGCTGCTCTTTAACCCCCCAGGGGTTTTTTACACTTTCCTTGCAAGGCTGAGCCCCTCTGCAAGTGTAACCCCTGTCCTGGGGTGGGGGTTTGGGGGGTAGCTCATGTTGATGGCAACAGTGGGTGGTTAGAGCCATGTCATGGGAAGTGTCCCAGCTGCGGTAGGTAGGCACAGGGGCCATCCTTTTCAGATGCGCACTCTGGTAGGATGGGGCTCTCCTAGCCAGCAGATGGACCTTTGAATCTGCTTGTTTGTCAATGGTACTGTTTGTTCCTGTGGCTGTCCTGTTTCTTCCCCTCTCTATGGGGACACGCTCTGGTTGTGTTCTCTCGTACCCCTCCCACCTGCGTTCCCTAGCCCAGGAGCAACCTTGTAGGTCCCCCACACCACCCCCTCTTTGTGACTTTTTTTTTTTAAGGTGGAGTCTCACTTTGTTGCCCAGGCTGGAGTGCAGTGGCTTGATCTCGGCTCACTGCAACCTCTGCCTCCCAGGTTCAAACCATTCTCCTGCCTCAGCCTCCATAGTAGCTGGGATTACAGGCGCCCGCCACCATGCCCAGCTAATTTTTGTATTTTTAGTAGAGATGGAGTTTCACCATGTTGGCCAGGTTGGTCTTCTGACCTCAGGTGATCCACCTGCCTCAGCCTTCCAGAGTGCTGGGATTACAGGCATGAGCCACTGTGCCCAGCCTTTGTGACTCTTTCTAGATGCTCAGAAGGGGCTTCAGAGGGGGAGTGAAGAAATGAAACCTGTTAGTTGGAAATACTGGGTGATATTAATTTAATTTTTAATATTGTAGTTCTCTACAGTGCCCGATTGGGGAATGCTAGCTGGCCCCAGTTCCCTCAGCTCGTGTTTTCTGTGCCTCCTCCTCTCCTCCAGCTCCTCCTCGCTGTTCCATTCTTTCTGTGGCTGAACGTATGTCGCAGGAGGTGGGCGTGGAAGAGGCACATGACTTGGTGAAGCTTTCCTTATAAAATGTGGGTGAACCTCATCTGTTTTTAGTGTAGTGATTGCTGATTTTTAATGAAGTGCTTCCAGGGACCTCATCTTCTTTACTCCTTCCAGCAGCCCAGGGATGGAGGGATGGAGAAACAGAGGCTCTGGGAGCATAAGGGACTTGCACAGCCAGTTAGAGGGCTTTCTCAAGTCGAGTCCCAGGCCTTTGCACTGAGAATGTGGCTTCCTTGTTTATTTGCCCAGGTTGGGCTGAGGCTTCCAGGAGGCTCCAGAAGCAGAAGAATGTCTATGAGTTTCTCATCCTCTAGAGACTTGGAGGCCAGCTGGCCTGACTTGGCTTGCAAGAAACGTGTTTCTGGAGCAATCACAGATCTTGTTATCCCACCAGGGACCCATTTGTCCCAATACCTTAGAAGGGACTGAGGAGTTGATTAATGCTCATGTTTGTGAGCACCCTTGGTAGGTAGCCCAGGCCTGCCCCTGCCCTCACAGGGCTGGGAGTTTGGTGTCAACAGTAAACTGGCTTGGGAGGCGTGCCAGGGGGAGTGTAGCATGCCACTGGGCCTGTCCTTTCCCCTCGGGCCCTACATTTCTTTCTTTAAAATACAGCCATCTCCAAGGTCCTTTTCTGCAGGGATGGCTTAGCATTCTGGTCTGGAATTCTTTTGGGAGATTCTGTGTGGGAAGGAAGGAGGATTTTCCGGGATTAAGTGATGCTGGTCTGTGGGTGGGTATTTTTAAATTTGTTTCAATGTCTGGATTTGCCACCATTTCGGGGGTGCAGAGGTGGGAGGAGGTACTGACTTAGGTTTCCTTCGCAGCAGTGCACAGGGAGTATTCATAACCCAGCCTTGCAAATGAACACTTTCTAGCAGCCTCCTGGGGAGCAAACAGAACTGCACGTGGGAGGAAGCTTCTGTGTGCTCGTGGGTTGTCTGTCAAAGGGACTGCCTCGGTTTCAGGCCTGGCTCCATGGCTGACTGCCCATGTGTCCTGGGCACATTCCCCATGACCCTGGGCACATTCCCTACCCCTTGGTGCCTCACTTTCCTCATCTGTGAGGGTAATAATTTAGCTTAGGGGTGTGAGCCTTAAATGAGGGGATTTGCTGAAGTGTCCAGGATAGTGCCTGGAACTCTGCTAGTGGTGGCTGCTGCTGCTGCCGTCTTCCCTGTGCAGTGAGCGAGTGGGTCTCTGCCCACGGATGCTTCTCTGTTCAGGGACCTTTGGCCTTTGTAGATGTAGTGTTCTTGGTTTTGGCAGTTTATAAGTCACCCTGAAGTCCATGATAGTGGAACTGATCATCTTCCAGGGATGTGGGGTTTGCGGATTTGAAACTGTTGAGTGGGCACAGCTAAGGAGGGGATCCTGGCTTTCCTGGTGACCTTTTAGCATCACAAGCGGGGTTCTGTTGTCCGTCAGCACACGGCCCATCTGAATC